GATCTTATTTGTATGGCACTAGAACCATGCTGGAAAAGAGTGGCTCACAACAACGCACAGAATAAATGCAACATTTCGTGATGATGCCTTAACAGTTACAAAGCAGAACACAAAGTCACGCTAATATCAGTAAGGGCAAACAAACATCTCATGTTAATAAACACTGAAATAATGCCTAACAATAAAGTACAAAACATCCAAATAGCAGCAAAAAGGATACCACCAACCCCAGTTGGTGGGAATGCTGAGCTTGCCCTTGATGATTCCAGCAGACTGTCCCCTGTATCAAGGCACTAGAGCCTCATATTCCTTACAATGGTATTATTGCTTAATTGGGAGGGTGGCGCTGTGGTCTAAACCACTGAGCCTCTTGGGCTTACCGATCGGAAGGTCAGCAGTTTGAATCCCCGCAACAGTGTGACCTCCCATTGCTCTTTCCCAGCTCCTGCCAACCTAGCAGTTCAAAAGCATGCCAGTGCAAGTAGATAAATAGGTACCGCTCTGGCGGGAAGGTAAACAGTGTTTCCGTGCACTCTGGCTTCCGTCATTGTGTTCTGTTGCGCCAGAAGCGGTGTAGTCCTGCTGGCCACGTGACCTGGAAAGCTGTCTGTGGACAAACGCTGGCTCCCTCAGCCTGAATGTTAGATGAGCATCGCAACCCCATAGTCGCGTTTGACTGGACTTAACCATCCAGGGGTCCTTTACCTTATTATTATTATTGCTTATCATTAGACTTGTTATCTAAAGCAGTGTTTCCCAACCTTGGGCCTCCAGCTGTTTTTGAACTACAATTCCCATCATCCCTGACCACTGGTCTTGCTAGCTAGGGATGATGGGAGTTGTAGTCCAAAAACGGCTGGAGGCCCAAGGTTGGGAAACACTGATCTAAAGGTCTCCAGGCAATTAATACCCATTTTAAAACATGCAACAGCCACACAAGCAAAACAGCATAATCTCAGTCCATCAATGGCACGGGGGGAGAGAGTAGCGTTCACCTGGTGCTAAAACGATGTCACCAAAGGTATTGGTGGACCACAAATTCAACTAAAAGAAGAGCTCCTGAACATGTCACTTAGGAGACCACAGCCTCTTATTTGTGAGAAACTATCTTCACAATCGATCTATCTTAAAACCTCCCACCCTCAAGGATAAAATTCAAGAACGCCAATTACAATTGCACCCTCTTAATCGCAAGCCCTGATGGACCACAGACCAAGGGCCCATTTTGACCAGCACAGATACCTGTAGGAATCCCACAAGCAATGACAGGAGCACAACTGCCTTCTCCCGCTGTTCTCCCCCAGTGACTGCCATTGAGAGGTGTGTTGCCTCTGATTCTGGAGCCAGTATACGACCATCATTAGCAGTAACCATTGGTGGGTTAGGCTGAGAGAGTGCAACTTGTTCCAAGGACAGGTCCAAAAGTGGACTTAAGGTGGGGTGGGTGGGATTTGTTCCTTGAAATACATACTTTGGGGGAGGGAACAAGTTTGTTTTCTCCTGCTCTGGGGGGTAGGGCTTGAGCCAGTGGCTTCAAGTTACAAGAAAGGAGATTCTGACTAAACAGGGGGGAAATTTCTGACAGTAAGAGGCGTTTGACAGTCTTCCATGGAAGGTGGTGGGCTCTCCTTCCTTGGAGGTTTTTAAGAAGAGGTTGGTTGGCCATCTGTCATGGATGCTTTAGCTGAGATTTCTGCATTGCAGGGGGTTGGTCTAGATGGCCCTTGGGTCCCTTCCAATGCTACGATTCTATGAGTCTTTTTGTTTTTGTTTATTGCTGGTTTTTATATGCGGTTTGTTTATGGGATTTTTTAAAATATTAAGTTGGTCTGTGCAAAAATATGATCAATAGAAGTAATAAAATGGTAAAATATTGGTCTAACATTGTCATTTACTTTGAAACATTTAATATTTGCAACAGTTTTTTTGTGTTTGAAGTGCTGTGAAATGTGTTGATAGATTTTATAAATGGGACACTCTTTAATTTATAAAAGCAAATCAAATCAAAGCTGTATTTGAGAGATAGCAGAATACAGTTAACAGTTTGTTTGTTTTTATGGGGAGAGGGAAGCCAAGAAGGTAAAAGCAAAATAGACAAAATAAATTAAGTTTCAGAGATTTAGTTAGATCACTACAGGAAAAAACTATTCTCTTAAGATTCTTTTGCTCTTCATACTGCACCAGAGTCTTGGCTATTTGCCAAAAGCTGTCACTGTCTGTCAACCAATAAAGTTTACTTAAAGCTATGCCTTGGTGATCTAACACTTGAATAATTTACTATCATAAAATAGTTTAAAGTACAAATGTTTTATGCTATGCCAAGCTGGACGCTAAAGATGTTTTGTCTAAAACATGAGATAATGGAAAGTGTATTGTGGCATGTGAATGACTTTAGCCTTTTGGTGGTAGATGTTTGCTTAACCAGAAAAGAATGTGTTAAGACTCTTGCCAATAGAAAGGTATTGCCATATTTTGCATTAAAGTACTGTAAATAAATCAGTAAATATGGTTCTGTTCATGTGTTAATCCACAACTTATGAATGCATTCATTGAATAAGAAACGCAATATACTGTTATCCTTTTTAAAAGGTTTCAGAAAGAGCTGGTCATAATTACTCTGGGTTGAAAGAAACATGAAACCAAATATTTTCATGATGATTGAAGTTGGATTTGAGGGACATAACCATTGCTTAAAGTTGTTTCTTCCAGAACCAGAAAAAGCAAGTTGCAAATTTTTAACATCTTGACTTTTAAAAATCTGACTCCTGATACAGTGTTATGCAATAAGCAGTGAGGTATACCAGTAATATCGATTTAAAATATTGTGGTAACTGGTAAGGAATTCTACAATAGATAATACAGTTGGTGGAAGTCAAGGCTAGGCAACATACTGGGAATCTATTTCAGGCAAATACTTTATCTCTAAACTTTTTATTCACTGGATTTAGTAGATTGGTGGCAATTGAGGAATTACAGCTCACTTTGCTTTTTTTGTAATAATTGCTGAGATAGTGTTGGCTATTAATAGCCTTAGGAGTTGAAGTTTTCTCTTTTTTTTTTTTTTTTTGCTCTTGAAATGTATAGGTCTGGAAGGACCGTAGCTTGCTTATGTAATAATTATTAGGAATAGGCACAGTTAAGTTCTTAGGATTACTTCAGTTATTTAGAAATGCTATGATGATGCCTGCTCCTGGCTTTGAATGCATCCTCCCAAGAAGGAGAAAGTCTCCCTTATATGGAATTGGCTGGCTGATCCAAGTCACATGGATGAGCCAGAACACACAAATAAAATGAGGTTTTCTTTTGGGAGTTTAGTTTGGAGCTGCTGGTGTGAGTAGCTGTGGATTATACTATGAAGTTATGACATTTTAAATTCTATTTCCACAAACAAATAGTTCTTAATTTCGTCAACTAGATTTCTGGTTTTGTTTTGCTACATAATTCTGCCGTTCTGTAACTTTCAAAGTTTTGCACATGTATATTGATATAATTTTATCCTACCTTTGCCATCTAACTACGATAGTTCTTAATTAATGTCGTGTACACTAAAGTCAGATAGAAGATACCCCGATTACTGGATTTTTATTTTTTTAAAAGGAAGCATTTATATATCTCCCTCAAATGACTGAGCTATTTGTAAACATGTGTTCCCAACCTTTTTGAGCCCAGATTTCTTCACAGAAGAAAAACTTGTAATGCCCAGATCACGCAAAATAACTGCATCCCACTAAAACAAATAAAATGGACGAAGAAGGCAGCACTCCCCAAAACTCGTAACACCCCCCCCCCATTTTTAAAAAATAGAAAATGGGAGAGCCTTAGTGGGCAGCAAAGAAGGGTGTATGGGTGCCATGGCTGGGAAGCTGCAATTTTATATAGGCGGCAACCATTTTGCACAGGGAATCTGGTCCCTCTGCACATCAGTGCAGCGTGCATTATCGCCCCCTGTTATTCCCCGCCTTCATTATACACCCATTTTTCCAGGTCCCAAAGGACTCTCACGTTGCTTGGACGTGCCTAAAATAGTTGGATTATTTATTGGGTTTAATCAAGTCACTCTTGTTAATAGAGGAATATGAAAACGAAAGAATCATAAAAGGGTTGTGGGTGATATATGTATCCACATCACTTGCAAAACCAAAGTTTGATACATGCCTGCAGCCCAAGGTTATATCGAAGAGCCTAAAAATGAACCATTTTTTTCTGTTTGTGTCTCGAGGCAGAGGCCAACAACCCAGCAGAGAACTGCACATTGGTACGGAATGTTGAGCTGTGGGCATGCAATTGCTGCTTCAAATACTTGAATGAGCTTTGGGGGATTCCAGTGGCAGCCTGGAATGTGCCTCCATGTGTACAGCACAGCATACAAACTGAATTACTAGAGAGAGAGAATATATATATATAAACAGTGGTTTCGGTTGACTGGCTCAACAGGTTATGAAATGTTTGTTTTATTTCCAGGAAGCTGAAATTTGGTTCACATCTATCCCAGAGTACACTGATAGCCTCCCTTTCAGATTTTTTATTTTCTAACTCTGTCCCTTAAAATGGTGGGACCTAATCCTCAATGGCCATGGTACTTCAGCACTATCAAGGGAAGGGGAAGTCTGAAATCGGGGGTTTTTTATGGCGTAATCAACAAAACGAGACCTGGAATTACTTGTATAGGCCCGTATTCCAGCACAAACTAGCCACACTTTGGACACAATGTTGGATTGCAGAACTGCCCTTTCCTTTCTTGGATTTGATCAGTGCAGAGCGCAGCACGGCGTGGATGCCATAGTGAAGCCAATCCAGCACCTCTGTGCTTCTCACATTGTCCCTCTTGGTAAATGGCAGCAGTTGGCAAAACAGGTGTGCCACATCGCCTTTGCAGTCCTACCGGCCGCCACTGGATTTGGAGGAGGAGAGATTTGTCGCAATGCCTGTGAAGAAGTTTGATTTTCTAACACTTTGAAATATCTGCTTGCCGATAAACTTTTGCAATTACTTTTTCAAAGGTATGAAGAACTGGATGTCAGCAAAGGCCTTCGAGACAATTTGAAAGGGAAGGTTGTCATAGAATACCCAACTTTGCATGTTGTTTTGAAGAAATTCCAGACGGATATGGTGATTCTTGGCCACGGTAAGAAACTATACATTACAATGCAATAACATTTTATGCAAACAAGAATTAAGGCTCTTTATCCTGTTAAAACCAGGAATGAGCATCAGCTTGTAAATAATAAAGCATTCCCCCCTGTTGCAATTACTTGGATTATATATATTATCAGTGTATATGTTGACCCTTTCCGGTTAGGTTTTAAGTAATTTAATCACTATAATACCGTTAAAAGGGATGCGGGTGGCGCTGTGGGTTAAAGCTCAGCACCTAGGACTTGCCGATCGCATGGTCGGTGGTTCGAATCCCCGCGGCGGGGTGCGCTCCTGTTGCTCGGTCCCAGCGCCTGCCAACCTAGCAGTTCGAAAGCACCCCCAGGTGCAAGTAGATAAATAGGGACCGCTTACTAGCGGGAAGGTAAACAGTGTTTCCGTGTGCGGCTCTGGCTCGCCAGAGTAGCTTTGTCACGCTGGCCATGTGACCCGGAAGTGTCTCTGGACAGCGCTGGCTCCCGGCCTATAGAGTGAGATGAGTGCACAACCCTAGAGTCTGGCAAGACTGGCCCGTACGGGCAGGGGTACCTTTACGTTTACCTTTTTATAATACCGTTAGCATTTTATTTACCAGTTTATGATAATGTAAAATAGATCTAAAATGCGTCAAAACCATAGTTCCGGGTTTTTGAGCCATCAAATTTGATAGGGTAGATAAACACATACCTGTTATATGAATAACCTTCCAGACAATTTTGCAGCATAGCATTTGTTAGCATCTGCAGCTGATTTGTTTTACCAGATCAAATGCCTGCTTGATAACTGGAAGTTTGAAGGCACCAGGCAATGCTTGAATATCTCTTACAAATTATGGTTGGTTACATAACTGAGAAAAGTTTGCTTCCTCTACTGTGAAACCTTCAAAATACCTTGGAACAGAATTAGTCCATTTCTTTTTCTTGGTCATATCCTATATTCCAGAGTCAGTATGCTAGGAAGAAATAATATTTTAATATTCTGCCACATAAATATATTAATGTTTATATTGGACATGATGGCTATATGCTACCTTCAGGCTCAGAGGAAGCATGGTCCAGATATCAGTTGCTAAGGCATAAAAGGGCTGTTTCATGCATACGCAGCTTGTGGATTTCCCATAGCATCTGGTTGGCCACTGTGAGAAACAGGATTCTGAACTAGGTGGGCCTTAGGCCTGATCTAGCAAGGCTCTCTTACATTCTTGTGACAAATAAGGCTTCTGCTTTGCAAACTGCACAGACCTGAACATGCCAAAGTGTTTTATAGCCTATACATTTGGCCGATATTTCTGGGTAGAGTAGATGCGAAAGAAAAAGAACGAATGCATCTCAAAATGCTCTCCGGTTATCAAGTGCAGCTTTAAAGAACCCAGTGGCGTCTGGGCGGCCAGCTGTTTTGCAGCCAGACATATTAGTAATTGGCACAGAAATGTTGCTTGGAGTCAAAATTGAATTATGAATCAAGGGCGACATGAAAAGTACCAAAAAGTTGTGGTGGTGGGGCTCTACACAACCTTACCTCTCTGGTTGCTGCAGTAACTTTCCAGTGTGCATAGCAACATATTTTCCTACCATAGACTGACTCCATGTTATACCTAGATACCACACAGAAGAGGCAGCGTCATATGCTACCTGCAGACTCCCTTCCTTCTTTCACTATGTTTTTAGGAGTTGAAGGTGCTGTACTTAATGGAAGATGAGCTTTTAAATGCAGCTGGAACAATGTTTTAATCCCTTGCATTGTATTTTAGTTGTATATCATGGTATTTTAGCATAGCTCTTTTCTGTGCAGGCAGTTTTTTGTTCCTGAATTTTTAATTGTGCGTGGTACTTTGCAATGGTTACGCTTTTGCAACCCACCCCGCAACTATTTGATGGAAGAGGAGGTTATAAATACAAATAATAATTAACAAATAACAAAGATCAAACACATCAGGGTAGGCTTCAGTGGTAAATGGCTACAGTGTTGCACTGGCAGTGCTGAGCAGGCACAGTAATGGCATACATTTTAAAAAGGGAAGATGCCATCATTGTCTTCTGGAATAAGTTTGGGACTAAGGAAGTTTTTCTGACATCCCTCTTTGCTTGCTTATGTTTCTATGTATACATATGTCCTGTATATATAACCAGGCTGCAAGGTGGTTTACATCAAAATAACCTTTTTCAAAAAGCTTGCTCTATAAGTGTGTTCAGTAGTTTGAACAAAAAAAACAGAATTTAATCTAGCTGCTAATAGCATAATGTGGATCACACCTTTCCATTTGTAGAACATGTGAGCATTAGCTAATCTGGATGGGAAACTGAACCTTACAAAACCTTCTCGCTAAGAAGCTGCTGTGAATTGTGCCCGATTGGCCGTTTCTTAGCAAGCTTTTGCGTTCCCATGGTATTTTAGTTGCTGCCTATATAGAATTTTTCTATTTTATTTTACATAGATAGATAGTAGTAATGTGGATATAAGTGCAGGTCACAACCAAACACATCTAGAATTGAAATATCTGGAATGTTTTTCCTTATGAGACCCAAAAACTTTGAAAACATTCATGATCCTATTGAAACAGCAGATTCTTTCTGTTCTGGTCACCTTGGAAAGATCTTACAATGGGCCTTGCAATGAGATCACCAAAATTCTGGATTTATATTCTTGTCTTTGAATAAGATTGATATTTCATTAGTTACGTTTGTAACTGAGCAATATGTTAGAAAGTATGTGTTTTCTCTGCACAAATTGACAAAAGACACAACCTGAATTTATATATGCATACACAATAAAATACAGTATTCCACTTAAAAAGCAGGCAGTGTTCTGCGATGAAAGCATAATAGAAAAAGGGCCCTAGCCTTCAAATTAAAAGTCATTTTAAATCAGATTGTTTACGCTGCTTTATGGGGTTAGTATGGTTGGTCTTGTTTAAAGAAAGTACAGGTGTTCGCCATTCTGTCTGCAAGCATAGTCACGGCTAGAATTACTAGAGGATTATAGAAGTTATTACAAGACTTAGGGACAAAAACATTTCTTTCTATCTCAGTACTCAGTACATCTCTGGCATATAGATGTTAATTGATTATACACTAGATTTAATGTAGACAAAATGTGACCTCAGCCGTTTCTGGGTGAAGTGCTTTTATTTTCTTGTCTAGATTCCATTGAAGTTATACAGGTGCACACTTGATCCCAGTGTTACCCCTGCTGACCATCTGCTCAGCATTTCATGATTACGTAGCAATTCCCCATTAACTCCATCTTAGTAATATTTCTCTAATAAGAAGCCTTTGGCCTCATATGTACAAAAAGGCACATTGGTGTTAAGCAATGTTAGTTAAGTGAAAATACCCATAAGAAAGATTATGTGTATTTCCTTTGCAAACATGCATTTTATATGTGTGTGTATGTGTATATATATATATATATCTGTTGACCTCGTCTGAGGAGGGGTTGGTAGGGCTGTGGCAGGAGAATTGGGGTGATCTGGAGGGTGGGAGAGGGAGGGGAAGGTTGACAAAGACTTCAGGAAATGATGACATCAGTCAGTCCTGGAACTCTGGACAGCTTGAATCTGTAACATCTTCGCTTTGGCTCAGACTTGCAAACGCTATGTTGAAATGTTGAACTATACAAAAAGGCAACATGTATGCGTCATGTCTTAGTTTCGTTGAAAGGGTTCCAACATGAAACAAGACCAATTCTCAGTAGTGCTCTGTGTAAATCAGAAGTTTGAACGAAATGCCAAATTCTGTTCTGCCTGACATTACAAATGATGGCTGTCATGTTGAGTCTTTCCACCTAGTGATACATCACCACACCCTGTGTTCCACGAATCCAGTTTTGCTTTATAAATACGGTTTCTTATGAGAGCCAGTATGCTGAGAGTGCCAGACTAAGATTGGGAACACCCGGGTTCAGCTTTAAAGCTCACCAGGTGACCTTGACCCAGTCGCTATCTCTCAGCCTCACTTTTCTCACAGGGGGTGGGTGGGATATATGCTGCCTTTATTCCTTGAAGGAAAGGCTAGATAATAGATACTGTAGTATTGTTCCAGCAGTTAGGTGTTACATTGAATATAGAAAAAATTGCATCCTTTTGTCCTGCGAAAGAAATGTTTAATGAAACAGAAAAGAAACTCACTCAGGAAAATTCCCTCTCAGTGGTCTTCCTGGCCAACAAATTGCTAGAAGCACTCACTTGAAACTGCACCCATGGTCTCCGACAGCACATCAGAAAGGAACACTTTTATTATATTTTCAGATTGTGATTTGAATTGTTGTGAGCCGCCTTGTACAGTAGAAAGGAAGGTATACAAATTTTAAAAAAGAAAAAAGTCTATTGCTGTGCAGTTTTTGTGGTAGATGTGAGGCAGCAGTCACAGGCATCCCGTTTTAAAGAAGGTAGCTCTCTGAGCACCACTTGGAAGCCATCCTCATTGGAACTAGGGGCAAGAAAAAAAGCCTGACTGCTCTGTCTAAGGGAGATGGAGAAGAAATCAGCCAAGCAATCTTTTACCCTTACAAAGCCCTCCTACACTTCCAAACAGAACTTGCAAGCCTATGTGGCTGCACCTCCAGAACTATAAGACCAGGTCTAGTCAATAAACACAATGCTCAGGCAAGAATTCCCACACCACATGGCAGTCCTTCTTGGATTCTGATTAGGGGTTGGATTAGGAGTAACTCCATGAACAATTGGTAGAACTTCCACGTGCTAATGATGAACATCTTATACCCCTTTTAAATGTGTTTGGGGGGAGGAGGAGGTTTATTGGTTTGTGGGATTTTTTTCGTCCTTGTTTTTTATTGTGTATTTTGTAGTTTTATATTGCGTCTTTATATTGTGAACCACCCCTGAGACCTACAGATGAAGGGCAGTATACAATTTATAAATGAATGAATGAATGATAGTTACTTTGCAAGTAACTATGTACTGTGGACATGTGCATTTATTATTCATTTATTCCACCTATTTTTATACCACTTAATCACCAAAGTTTGTAAGTGGTATAAATAAAAATACCCAAAATCATATAGTAGATAAGAATCCATTTAAATCGAAGAGAATAATAGGATACATTTGTGGAGGGTGCAAAACCAGGGCTGGGGTTAGCTTAGTAAATATATAAATATTGTATTTCTTTCCCCTTCTCTCCTTTAGATGCCAGTAAATCCAATCAGGAAAACTCGTCTGAGGAAGAAGGGGAAATCCATGATAGTTCCTGACAAAGCAAAATCGGATGTGGAGTTGGAGCAACTTGCTTTGCACCTGACTTGTTGAACATATATTCAGCAAATTAGTTTTGAGCATTGCTTTTTATTAATAGTATCCAAAACCTATAGCTATTTAAAAAGCACTGCAATCTGTTAATGTATGTTCTACATTATGTTCTAATCTATGTTTATAGATTAAGGTGCCTAGCTCTAGCTTTCTTTTGTGAAAATCACTGATGTAACAATTACAATTTTACAGGACTCTGTTGCCAATCTTTGTACGCTTGGCTGTTTTTTTCCACTTATTGAAGTAGAAAGCTATAAATACTTTTAATAAAACACCTAACTCTCCTTTCATCTGGGTGTGGTAAAGAACATGAAACAGAAGCAACCAACTCATAAAAGAAACAAATATTTGTTGGAATAAATCCCTGCTTTAATATATTGATCTGGATTGCACATAAGCAGCAGCTTGGGGTGAGTTTGTGGGCTCCTAGAGAGATCGCAGCCACTTGCTCCTTCCCAGTTCTTCTGCTGCTATGCTGTGCTTAGACATCATTAGGCTTAACATGTCATCCAACTCTGGGCTTCCAGTTTAGTTCTTTCCAAACCAATCATGAGCTGCAGCCAAGGTTTGGTCTATGTTCTACGGCTCATGGTTTGCAAAGGAGAGCTAAACCACAAACCTGGGTTTGGATAACATACTGAGGCTTAGTGCAGTGCAGCACCAGAATGACCAGGGAGAAGCAGAGCTCCTCTGATCTCCTCGAGCATGCGTGCTCACATGCTCATTCTAAGCCAGTCTTTTTGTGATGCACGAACCAGGCCATTGTTAGAAAGAATTGTGCAAGGTTCAGCCCAGGGCATATCTCGGTAAAAGAATTTCAGGTAGCTTGGCACGGCGAGGCCACTGAGCCCTTGGAAAGTAGCTGTCAATCCATGTAGAAGTCACAGAACTAGATGGACCAGTGGTCTGACTCAGTGTTAAGCTACCTTAAAATGTGTGCGTAATTGATTTAGCTTTTAAAAAAACCAATGCAGGCAATGTAAATATTAAGGAGAGATTAGTGTTGAATTTCCCTTAGTGAGTTTATTGGAACAAGAAAATGAGAAAAAGCCAGGGCATCCAGGACTCAGCTACATTCGCAAAGAAAAAACACTTTATATGCATTGTTTATACATTCTAACATTATGACGCAAGATGGTGCTCTGGAGTTCCATTTTTGCTAACCCAATTTCTCATACAAAGTTTTCAACCCATTTAACTGAAATGCTTCTTCAATGGGTCTAGATCCAGCCCTACTCTAACATACTATTGAAAGATTTTACCACATAGTGAGCCAAATCTGTTGCTCATGATGCAGCAGAGGTGGGTGGAATCTAGAGAAATTTTGCCCCATCGTGTGCTCAGAAGAGCACCTGTCTGGCAAGATGCTGTTATCAAGGACCAAACTGGCAAGAACTTACCTTAATGTAACTGATGACGTGGAGTTGGGTTCATAGGTAATTCAAACAATCTTTTGATATTGCGAAGACCCTATAGGTTGATTGCCCTTCTTTTTATATTGTAACTGGTCTCTTCCTGTGCTGTGTGTATATGTGGTAAGATCACAGCCCAACTAGCTTTTATAAGGTGGTGAACAGCAATCTTTTTGTTTATCTCTTGATTTATACAAAGCACCTGAAGGATCAGCTGCTGTGTGCCCTCAAAATAACACTCCATAGTGGATTGGTGATGACAATTGAATCGTGAAGTGAGATCAGTATCTGAAGTCAGTGTTACTTTGGCCGGGTTATGCCCATCAACAGCCTTAATGGTTCATTAAGACTTCAGTTTCTGCCCATGAGGACTGAAAAATGAAACAAATAGATGCTTCCCAGAGGACACGTAACGTACTCTTCTAAACATGTTCCTGGAACTTTGCTTGAACTGGGCTTCAAGAAACAAAAAACGGGCTTCAAGAATAATAATAATAATAAATAATAAATTTTATTTATATCCCGCCCTCCCCAGCTGAAGCCGGGCTCAGGGCGGCTAACAACAAAACTCTGGGATAATAGGTTTGAGAAGAGGGGATTGCATTGTGTTACATAGTTTGCATGATGTCAGGCTTCAGGGAATAAGCCCCCCCCCTTTGGCCGTAGATAAGGAGAACAAAGAGAAAGGACTCTTCTTACCAGTTATAACCTTTAACGATCACGGTGAGAGAACAAAGAATCCATTCCTAGGAATGAAGGTGCTCCCAATTAAGGGTTCCACCCACTTCCTCCCTAATCACCCAAGTCGCTACCACTTCTTGTAACCTGGTCTTGTAACCACTATGCTTTCTGTGCTGCCACCTTATCTGCTTTTCTTGACCTTGGGCACAACGGGTGAATGCTTTCCAGAGACAGTGCATCTGTTAACTCTCTCCCAGTGCTTCTCCTAGCTGTTCCCCCCTCCAATACTTCTCAACTTCTGCCTTCTGAACTATGTCCTTCTGCAAACCACTGTTCCGAATCTATACTGTCCTCCTGGTGCTCCCACCAGTCCTCCCCAGTGCAGTCCTCCTCAGCATGGTCCCTGACTCATGAATAGTTTAAGCTTAATGACCTGTTGAATTCCCAGTGATAGGTCCCTGGTCTTATGGATGCAATTAAACCTGCCCTGGATAGATGGAACTTCTGACAAATTCAAATGCTATTTTAATGTTATATAATGGAAATAATGCCTTGGCAAGGGGCTTATCTCTCCCTGACCTAGGTAGATAAATACCGTATTTTTCGCTCTATAACACGCTCCCAACCATAACACGCACATAGTTTTTAGAGGAGGAAAACAAGAAAAAAAATATTCTAAACAAAACAGTGGATGTATGATTTTTGTGGTTCATGCTGTGGCCACAGACGTGTGATCTAACGATGAGTTTGGGGTAGCCCAATGCAAAAATCCTGAGGATCCATGTGGATCCGTGCTTTGTAACCACGTGAATGAAGGAACTGTCAGTAATGTATGGTATCTCCAATACAGTGATGAAGGAAGAGGGGGGGAGCTCGCACTTGTCCTAGGCAAAGCAGCCAACTCCTATAGGCCTAGGTGCCTTCACCCCCTCCATTAAATATTTGAGGGAGTCATCCTCCCCCCATGCTGATGGGCATTGCCATTCATATAAGGTACCAGTGTGCATGCACTTTGTCTTGAGATCATTGCAGTCTGTGAGATGGGGCTTACCTGTACCTGCCCCCCCCCAATATTTTATTGAAATTGGAAGAGGGAGGGAGGGAGGGAAGAGAGATGGAGAGCTCACATTTGTCCTAGGCAAAGCAGCTAACTCCTATGGGCCTAGGTGCCTTCACCCCCCCCATTAAATATTTGAGGGAGTCATCCCCCATCCCCCATTGTGGTATGTGAGTGGGGCTTACCTGGCTGTCTCCCCAATATTTTTTGAAGCTGGAAGAGGGAGGGAGGGAGGGAGGGAGGGAGGGAGGGAGGGAGGGAAGGAAGAGAGAGGGGGAACTCACATTTGTGCAGCTGCCTTGCCTCGAACTGAAGCAAAAAGAGGAGGAGATGCAGGGACACGAGCCTTGTAAGCTGCTTTGTTTGAATTTACCGGTGAGGTGCTGGGGGAGGGACGGAAGGGGATGCCCTCTTTGTCCCTCCTTCCAGCTCATTGTAAAGAAAGCAGAGTAAGAGCCACTTACATGTGTGTAAGGGAGAGCCATAGAGCAGGCAGACACTGAGAAAAAGAGGCTGTCTCCCTTCTCCCACCTTGGCTTTTACAGCTGCAGGCAGCTCTTGCCGGCTTCCAAGCAGCCTCCCTTCTCCCACCTTGCTAAAAAGCCATAGAGCAGGCAGACAGGAGGGAGAGAGGCTGTCTCCCTTCTCCCACCTTGGCTTTTACAGCTGCAGGCAGCTCTTGCCAGCTTCCAAGCTGCCTCCCTTCTCCCACCTCGCTAAAAAGCCATAGAGCAGGCAGACAGGAGGGAGAGAGGCTGTCTCCCGACACTCAGCTGTTGCTCAGCTGTTGCCGGCTTCTCAGGGAGCCAAGCGGAGGAAAAGAGGCTGCCGAACAGCCAGCAAGAGCGGCTCCTCCTGCCTGCATTCGCTCCATAACACGCACACACATTTCCCTTTACTTTTTAAGGGGGAAAAACTGCGTGTTATGGTGCGAAAAGTACGGTAATCACTTTTCAATGCTGCGGTTTAGAGAGCTAGATAGATATAAACGGAACAACACAGAGCTGCCCTAAGGAATATCCATCATTGTTAGAAGATGGTGTCAGAACTGGGAATGCTTAAAATAAAGAAGCTTTCTGTTTTGCATAATAAAGTAAGAAAAATACAAGCAACTATAATTATTTGCAAAGGTGCAATGTGCTCCTTGTAATTTGTAGTTCTGAAATGAGCTAGATAGAAGCCAAACAGTATATGCATTTGAAGCTGTTCGGTATAACATTTGGCCATGGATAATTGCCTGAACTTGAATATTGTTAGCTACCTGATCCATTGGGCTGACCTTTTGCCTCCTTTTATGCTATAAGGAAGCTGTAGACAGTGGTGTGCCATAACTGCATCAGCCAAATAGACCAGGTGGATCGGGATGGACTTCAGTTTAAATAAGGAAACACAACAAATCAAGCAGTTGACAGATTTTGGATGAGTACCCTAAAAGCCTTGACAACTTGTTCAACTGCACTGCGCAATGATCTCCCTGGGGAAATGGTGAGCATCTCATTAACTGAGTCATTTAAAGCTAGATTGGACAAAGCACTGGAAAAAGTGCTGCGGCAATAGCAACTTCAGCCTCATGTGTTGGTACATTTGCAGCTTCAAAGTACTAAATAAACATTAGCTCATTGTCCTCGCATGAAAGAGTGAGTAAGTATTTATTACAATGACTTTATTGTCTTTGTTTTACCAAAAAAAAACCCCAAACCCACAGGAGGTGGGGCGGTGTAGCAAACCCCATAATTGTTTCAGGGCACATAGAAAATTGGTGCAATACCAAAGCGACAGCCAAACAATTCATGTGGTCTGTTTACTAGATTAACTGCCTGTTCAGAGGACCCCAAGGAATAGTCTATGAGAAGCTGACTTATACTGAGAGAGACCAACAGCCTGGCTGGCCAAATACTCTCTGCAACTGACTGCAGATAGCTGCCCAAGATTTTAACTAGTAGTCTTTCCTACTGGGGGGCGCTAGTAGCACAGGGAAGGAAGATTGAAATTGTTACTCTGTCTCAAGCCTACTTCCTGAACAAGCGAATAAATTGATACATCTGTTCCTGAAAACTACTTTTTTATTGACAATGACAAAAGAATTAATGGTCTGATATAAATTGGCTGAAAATTGGGTCACAAAATTATATCTCCTCAT